CCTACACGACGCTCTTCCGATCTCCCCAAAACCCCAAAACCCCTCTGAAAAATGTAGTGAATGAACATTAGAGTAGTAAAATCAAAGAAAATTATTATTCATTAATATCGTTCATTTTTCGCTTCTAATCATTAACTATAATTTGCTAATGAATCATTTTAGTCTCATGCTCTGCGATATTTGAAGTCATATTTTCTATAGTTGTACATTTCAAGGTTGCGAGAACGTTGATTTATTTAGAATACAACAGATATTACACTTAGAGTAATTACAAAGAGGATATAAATGAAGAATACTGGGTTGACCTGACCTATTGTGCCATTATTGTAATTTTCATATATCAAAAACTCATTTGGATATCCTCCTGCAAACTCTGAAAAACCCTAGTAAATAATGATGGATATTTAATCTTACTCTCACAAAAACATACGCTCCTCCAAGAGATGATCCGATTATTACAGCATGGTCAAAGAAAATCATGGAAAGGATTGCAATTATTACAGCACAAAATGCTATTGTTAACCATAGAGCTAAAATTGGGTTATTTTTAGCAAACAAGTAAAAGACAAGACTGTAAAGAATAGCTCCTAAAAGCCCTCCAATCCAGGTACCTATAAGCAATACTCCTATCCTTACCCATCTCATGCAAGCATATCCGATACCAGCTCCCATACCAAGACTAACTATAAGAGTAAGCCAGACAACCCATTAAGGAGAATTAGTAGGGTAAACCGAGCCGAACATAAGTATTAATATAAATCCAGCAACAGTTGCTTGGCCAGTAAGGAATAAGGTAAATTTGAAAAATCTCCCGCCAGATATCATTAAGAATACTCCTAAGCACATCATTCCCAGACCAAAAATGTAATAATTCTCATTAAAGAAATGCCATAGAGATCCAAGTGACAATTTAGGGCATGCTTCTTTAGAGGTCATGATAACTCTTGGTGTACAAGGTGAGGATAAACTTGAAGTGTCAAGGCTATAGGAAGTTCCTTATGCATAATCATCACAATTCAATTATAGAAGAAGTTGAAATTTAGCTGTATCATTGCACATGTTGCCTCCTGTAAAATTAAGTCTCAATCCTAGGTCTGGCTTATCATTGTCAATTAAAGAAACTCCAACATCAGACAAGGAGCCACTGCTCATATGGCTACAAGTATTATTTTCATTTATAATATTAGCAAAGTCAGATGCTTCATCTGGGCATTTTCTAAAAGAATAGTCACAAATATTGAAATCTATAGTAATATTTCCCTTGCCATTATTGTATTGAACCTTATAAGCACTTGTAAACCTATTTTAATAAGTTAAGAAACTTTCAATTGTCATTCATTTTGAAAATTTCTTCAAAATAAAACATACTTAGGAGTTGATCTCTTAAGACCAGCAAGACTGAAAATATAGGAATTTAACTCAACACTGCAACCTGTCAAGTCTCTGTCTTCTTATACCTCGATTCTTGCATTAGTATGTGCAAGCAAGTTCAAACCTGTAAGTGCGAGAAGAATTTTCATCAATACTTCACCTCTTTTATATACAGCCATTGTAATTTTGAGAATTATTTATTAAACAACGTTAAATGTAGAAATATGTTTTTTCCATGGGGTTTTGGGGTTTTGGGGAGATCGGAA